TTTAACTTCGCTAATACTTCGCTTGCTGGCCAGCGTTTGATAAGGTCCTAATATTTGAGATTAGAGCTGGTGTGTATGAGAGAGAGAGAGAGTAGGGTTCCTAGATCTTGGGACCTGGGCCTGACTCTCCAGTTTTCATGGGTCATCTCCAGGCAGGAGATGGGTGTGTACATTCTTTAGTTTTGGTGGGCTCAGCTCTGGGCAAAGGAAACAACTCTGCCAATCTCCAACAGAGACAGGAGAACAATCCAACAGAGAGAAGCAACATGGCACAAATTTGCAAAGCCCAATTGACTGGTTGCTGCAAAGTTGCAAAGATTTTCTAGAGGGTCTTCATAGTTGAGGACCAGCATAGCCTAATGGTTTTGAGCACTGGACTAGGATTATGGAGATCAGGGTTCAATTCCCTGTTCAGCCATGGAAATCCACTGGGTGATATCGGTGATCACACACACTCAGCCTCAGAAAACTCTGTGATAGGTTGGCCTTAGGGTTGCCAGAAACTGGAAACAACTGGAAGGCACACAACAACAACTATGTATTTACTTAATTAGGTTCCTCCTTCCTTCCCAGCTGCTGTCCACCAAGACTAACCCTCTGTTCTGCTCTGCATCCATCTTTTGGCTAAAAGCAAGTCGGTTATGTTAAATGTTCCTCCTTGTTGTTGCTGTTCTGTGCCTCCAAGACATTTCCAACTTGTGGAGACCCTAAAGTCATGGGTTTGTTTTTTGTTTGTTTGTTGTTTTGATATGCAAGAGTTGTTCAGAGGAGGTTTGCCATTGCCTTCCCCTCCATCTCTCTAAATCAGTGAGAAGAAATAATCTCCTTGTTTCACCTTGATTTAGCTAAGATTTCTGTTTTAATTTCCAAATAAGAAAATGTGTCTTCTGTGTGTGTGTTTGAGTGACCAACCATGAACAACTGTGGTAGTTCCTCAGTGCACATCACTGGGGGCTGTGACATTTTGGCCCAGAAACCTCAGCACCTAGGATGATTCTCAACTGGCATCTATACATATAAATCAGCATACACAGATTTCATGCAAATCTGAGTCCTCTTTTTTGGTCATGCGTGAGTGACCACCTCATCCTAAATTGAAGATCACAATTTTAAATGCCTGGAACTGCCCTCATAAGCTGAAATAGAAAATACTCAAAAGCAAGAGAAGAGGCAAAGAAAAGTTTGGCTCTTAGCCTGTCAATTTTCAGTTCCTCAAACAGACAGAAATGCCTGTGTCTATCAAATTCGTTGATTTAAATAATTACATGACAGACTTAAAGCAGCAATAGAAAAACACTGCTTGGCTTTTAGAAATTGTTCATGTGCTTGGGATAATGATCACAATGGGTGGTTCTTAGCCCAGTTTTATGTATATTGATTTCTGTAATCAACAGCCACTCCATGGGAACAGGCAATGCTTTCTTCCAATTTGCACACCCTCACCTTTTAAAAATGAATGGAAAGATATTGGTGCTGGCTCTTTTTAGATGATGGATTTCCTTTTAGAAGAGTTGAAGCATGGTTTTCATCATTATGGTACCCTATTTTTGGAATGTGCCCCTCCAGAAGACCTGCCAAATTACATTTTATTGTCAACAACTGATGGAAATAAGTCGAAATATTCATTTTTAATAAAATAAAAAATACTTTTAAACAGAGTGAATTGCTATTCTTTATTATAGTAATTTAAATCCCCAGTAGCTTGACAAAAATGTGGCAATCTCTTTCAATGCAGACATAACCTGGCTTCTTGTAATAAATCTGTCTATCCCTAAGAGTTATAGAATCATAGATCTAGAAGGGTTCTCAATCCACTGCCTTTGAGAGGTGGCATCTAGCCTCTGTTTAAAAACATCCAATAAAATTGATTCCACAAACCTCCTAAATCCATCTATTCCACTGCTGAGCAGTTCTTTCTATTAGGAAATTCTTCCCAATTTTAAGTTGGGATATCTTTTCTTGTATTTGAATCAATTGGTACAATTCCTATCATGAGGTTCAAAAGGAAGGAGCACTTTGTTGACCATAAGACAATTTCTAGAGTCTATATTGCACTACCCTTAATAGATCAAGTCAAAAGGCACAAAAATAATGGGATTGTAGCTAAGGGTGGCCTTGCACAAGAAGAAAATACTTGGACTTGAACTGGACAGACCTTCCAACAGAGGATACCTTCAAACAGAGAACTGTCCTCTGATGCTATTCAAAGAGAGGAAACTTTACTCTCATGTAAAGCTGGGCAAAATGGTTACCAAGTGACCAGGGCTGTAAGATGGGAGCAAGGTGTGAATAAGGAAACAAGAAGCACAAATTGCAACCACTTCCTTTTCTGAATTATGGTCAAAATACTTTGGTGAACACAGAAGAAAGACTCTGTTAGACTCCAAGCATTATTATTGCAAATACCAGTCCCTATTTGTGACGGGAAGAATGGTGACAAATCTAAAAAAGTATCCTCATGATTGCCTTGGATCAAGACATAACATTGCTCTTTTAAAAAAAATAAATGCTAAGGAAGGACAAGGTGGTCTTGGACCCTCGCTGCTAAAGCTCCATGCCAGTTTTCTCAGGCAGCAAGTGGTTGTTGTCACCCATTTGTTCTGACTATGCCTGAGTTGCTCTTTCGGCAGTAAATAGAGCCGGCTGGGGCAACCACAAAGTACAGATATTACAGTATTGTGTGGCACTTCGGCAGTTGGTTGGTGCATAAAAGCTTCCCTTTCATTCTTCCCCTCAGTGCTGACAGAAGGCCTGTATTTCCCTCTTGTCACTGAAGACAAAGGTTCTCACACTGGCATTCCCCCTGTGTGGAGAAATCTTTTGTACACTCAGAGAAAGTGGAAGAAGGAGCCTTCTGGTTCATGTACTCCTTGCGGAGGGGGATTATAATAGAGAACAAACTTTCCCTTCTACCCAGGGCCTGGTGAAGAACTGACGCCATAATGCCCTTCTATCACACCAATTACAGCAGCCATTGTTTTAATGACAGTGTTGTTTGGGAAACAGGGAGAAGAATCAGTCCCAAGAATATACCCCTCTGTATGGAGGTAAACTATATATTATCTTCTTGTCAGATTAGCTACAAGAACTCGGGGTGTAGGTCTGCTACTTTTATTTCTTCCTCTATTGTGTGCCTATTGGGTTTTTATTTATTTCACCAGATTATGCAAAGTATGACAGCCCTATAAAACAAAAATGAGCTTGCTTTTCTTTCTTTTTCTTTCTTTCTTTTTCTTTCTTTCTTTCTTTCTTTC